CGCTGAGGTTGTCCCTGTGGCACCCGCAGTGGGCGGTCGCGTGGACTTCGAGGACTTTGTGCAGATGATGGGGCCGAAGCTGCGGGAGGAGACGGCCCACATGGTGGGCGTGAGGGAGCTCAAGATCGCCTTCCGTGAGGTAGGGCTGCCGCCAGGGAGATCATGACTGTGGGAAAATGTGACCATGGGGGTGACCACAGGCATGGAGGGGACAGTGACCGTAGGAAGACCATTGGGTGATGGTGACCATGGGGGAGAGAGACCGTAGGCATGGAGGGGACAGTGACCATGTGGAGACCGTGGGGGAATGGTGACCATGGGGTTGACCAGGGGTATGGAGTGGACAGCAACCATGGGAAGACCTTTGGGTGATGGTGACCATGGGTGTGACCAGGGGCATGGAGGGGACAATGACCTTGGGGAGACCATGGGGAGACCATGACCATGGGGGAATGGTGACCGTGGGGGTGACCACAGGCGTAGAGGGGATGATGATCATGGGGAGACCATGACCATGGGGGAATGGTGACCGTGGGGGTGACCACAGGCGTAGAGGGGATGATGATCATGGGGAGACCATGACCATGGGGGAATGGTGACCATGGGGGTGACCAGGGGCGTGGAGGGAACAGCAACTGTGGGAAGACCATTGAGTGATGGTGACCATGGGGGTGACCACAGGCATGGAGGGGACACTGACCATGGGAAGACTGTTGGGTGATGGTTACCATGGGGGAACGGTGACCATGGGCATGGAGAGGACGATGACCATGGGGAGACCACGGAGAGACCATGAGACCATAGGGAGACTGTGACCATGGGGGGATGGTGACGATGGGCGTAACCACAGGCGTAGAGGGGATGATGACTGTGGGGAGACCATGGGGAGATCATGACTGTGGGAAAATGTGACCATGGGGGTGACCACAGGCATGGAGGGGACAGTGACCGTAGGAAGACCATTGGGTGATGGTGACCATGGGGGAGAGAGACCGTAGGCATGGAGGGGACAGTGACCATGGGGAGACCGTGGGGGAATGGTGACCATGGGGTTGACCAGGGGTATGGAGTGGACAGCAACCATGGGAAGACCTTTGGGTGATGGTGACCATGGGTGTGACCAGGGGCATGGAGGGGACAATGACCTTGGGGAGACCATGGGGAGACCATGATCATGGGGGAATGGTGACCATGAGGGTGACCATGGGCATGGAGGGGACAGCAACCATGGGAAAATCATTGGGTGACGGTGACCATGGGGATGACCATGGGCATGGAGGGGACCATGACCATGAGGGAATGGTGACCATGGGGGTGACCAGGGGCATGGAGGGGACAGCAACCGTGGGAAGACCATTGGGTGATGGTGACCGTGGGGGAACGGTGACCATGGGCATGGAGGGGACGATGACCATGGGGAGACCATGAGGAGACCATGAGACCATAGGGAGACCGTAACCATGGGGGAATGATGACCACGGGGTTGACCAGGCCACGAAGTGGACAGCAACCATGGGAAGACCATTGGGTGCTGGTGACCACGGGTGTGACCAGGGGCATGGAGGGGACAGTGACCACGGGAAGACCGTTGGGTGATGGTGACCATGGGCATGGAGGGGACAATGGCCATGGGGAGACCAGGGGGGAACGGTGACCATGGGGGTGACCAGAGGCGTGGAGGGGATGGTGACCACAAGCAACCCAGGGGTTGACCAGAGCCCTGGAAGGAGGGTGGTGGGGCCGGTGGGGAAGGTGACCCCCCCCAACCCGCGGGCGCCGCAGTTCGACGTGGACGGGGACGGGGAGATCAGCAGCGCGGAGATGCGGGAGGCCATCGCGGCGCTGCTGGGGGAGCAGCTGAAGGCGCAGGAGGTGGACGAGATCCTGCAGGACGTCGACCTCAACGGGGACGGGCACGTGGACTTTGATGGTGAGGGACACCCCCAAACCCATC